TGCCTGATTGTCCCTAACTGTTCCCCTCCTGGCCTGATCACCCCTAATTGCCTCTGCCTCACCCCACACCTGGACCTGGCCTTCTCTGCCTCTGACCAGCTACAGACACCCAGGACCCAGGCAGGCTTTGGTGTATGGCTTGTCCCTTTGCCAGGCCACAGGCACAGGTGCTGGTGCCTGGCACTGCAGGGTAGATGGCTTGTTCCTATTCCAGGCTTGCAGCCTGGCTGGTCCCCATTCCTCTCTCATGAGCTCATTTGTGCCTGGCTGGTCCCCATTCCTTTCTACCCAGTGTTGAGTGAGCAGTTCATGAGGGCATGATGACCACTTGCATATTAGCTCTTTATTATATAGGATTGGTTGATTCTTATATGTGCCCTTACCGTATATGGAACCCACAACCTTGGCATATTGGAATGATGCTCTAACCAACTGAGTACCTGGCAGGGGACACCTTATTGTTTTAATTTGCATGTTTCTGATTAACCTTATGAGATAAAGCACTATTTGTATTTTTGTATTTTTTACATTAATTTGTACTGAGAATTACCTTTTCACACTTTGGCCCTTTTTATTAATTTGTAGGACCTCTTTTTATATTTTCTAAAAAGTAATAACCTATCTGTTATAATAGAGATAAATAGTGTCTTTCAAACTATTACCTCACTGTTTGTTTATGGTATTTTTTGTCAAAACAGAAGTTTTGAAACTGAAAGAGAATCTGGCAGTCTTTCTCTGTATTACTTCTGGGCCAAAAAAATAAGTAAAAGTGTAACTACAACACATTTTTTAAAGAATCAGAATCAGCCCTGATTGGTCTGGCTCAGTGGATAGAGCATCAGCCTGTGGACTGAAGGGTCCCAGATTCGAGTCCAGTCAAGGGCATGTACCTGGGTTGCAGGCACATCCCCAGTAGGAGGTGTGCAAGAGGCAGCTGGTCGATGATTCTCTCTCATCGATGTTTCTAACTCTCTATCCTTCTCCTTTCCTCTCTGTAAAAAATCAATAAAATACATTTTAAAAAAAGAAACAGAATCAGAATCATCAATATTTCTACACCCCTCTGTGTGAAGAGTATTCCAGGAAGAGAAACATGCCCCCTGCCATGACTCCCAGATCATAATACCATTCTTCCCCACAGGAATCAACATGCCAATGGCAGAGACTCTTTTTTTAGAGAGGAAAGGAGAGGGAGAGAGAGATAGAAACGTCAATGATAAGAATCATTGATCAGCTGTCTCCTGCCCATTGAGCCTGCAACCTGGGTATGTGCCCTTGACTGGAATTGAACTCGGGACCCTTCAGTCTGCAGGCTAATGTTTTATCCACTGAGCTAAACTAGCTAGGGTGGTTGAGACTCTTTGAAGCCATTGATTAATGCATTGATTCTCAACCAGTGTGCTGCAAGAATTTTTAAAACATACAATACCTGACTATTTAGTCCAGGACACTGACCTCTTTTCTCTTATATTGTCAAATAAAAAAATGACAATAGCTAACACATAGCCATATTTTTTGTCAGATCAGCAAAATATATAATACAGTTTATGGTGAGCCACAGAATTTTAATAATTATTTTATGTGTCCCATGAGGTGAAAAAGGTTGAAAATCACTGGATTATTGTAATGCCTATCTTAACTCCAGTGTTAGTAGTGGCCTTGACAAATAAATGCCTTTTCTATTATATAACTATATTTTGCCAAGCACACTGAACACTATTATAATTGTTTTTCTGTCACTCAGATGATAGCCCCATGATTCTTTTTGTATTTTTAAGTATGTTTGCCTTGTTTAGAATTACTTATAGCTTATTTTATTTATCTGTTTACTTATTTCAGAGATAGTGGAGGGAAGGGAGAGAGAGAGAGAAATATCGATGTGAGAGAGACACATGGATTGGTTGCCTCCTGCAGGAGCCCTGTCTAGGGCCCTGCACCGAGAAGGAGCCTGCAACTGAGGTATGTGCCCTTGATCAGAATTGAACCTCGGACCCTTTGGTCCACAGGCTGACACTCTATCCACTGAGCCAAACTGGCTAGGGCTACTTTTATTTTTTTTAAATGGAAATAGCTTAATTCATATTTTTTATCTTGTTAAATGGACAGTACAACACAACTTCATAATTTTTTAGAAATTCAGAAAATCTAGAATGGAAAAAAGAAGAAAATAAAATAACCTCAATAAATTACCTGAATTTCTACCAACTAGTGTTAACTATTGGAAACATACATTTAAAAAAATATATTTTATTGATTTTTTTATAGAGAGGAAGGGAGAGGGATAGAGAGTTAGAAACATCGATGAGAGAGAAACATCGATCAGCTACCTCCTGCGCACCCCCGACTGGGGATGTGCCAGCAACCAAGGTACATGCCCTTGACCGGATTCGAACCTGGGACCCCTCAGTCCACAGGCCAATGCTCTATCCACTGAGCCAAACCAGTCTCGGCAATAACATACATATTTTTAACACATTTTTTAAAAATATATTTTATTGATTTTTTTACAGAGAGGAAGGGAGAGAGAGAGAGAGCCAGAAACGTCAATGAGAGAGAAACATCGACCAGCCGCCTCCTGCACACCCTCCACCAGGGATGTGCCTGCAACCAACGTACATGTCCCTAACAGGAATCGAACCTGGGACCTTTCAGTCTGACCTACTCTCTACCACTGAGCCAAACCGGTTTCGGCTTTAACACACATTTTTAAAAATAGGGGCTCACATAATGTTTTATATTCTGCTTTTTTACTTACTATGTATTTATATTATTTTATGTTAATAATTATACATCTTCATGTAAAGAGCTGCACAACATTCTATTGTATGTATCATAATTTGTTTAATCATATGAATTCATCTTTTCACATTTTTATCAAAAGATAAATAGCAAACTGGAAAAAAATATTTACAACATATATAAGGGCTAATTTCTTTAATGTATAAGGAGTTTCTACAATATATATAAGAAACAGATTAGTAATCCAATAGAAAAAAAGGCAAAGAATAAAAACAGACAATTCACAGAAAAGAAAGTGGTTCTTAAACCTATGAAAAGATGTACAGCTTTACTTGCAGTAAGAAAAAATGACTATTAAGTATTATATATGAAATAGCATTTAAAAAATATCTTTCAGATTAACAAAGATAAAACAGGATTGCTAGTACACTCTTTCCAAGAGAGTAGAGAAATATATCCTTATGCATTGTTGTTCAGCATAATCTGGTAAAACCTCTTTGGAATATAGTTGGTAAGTACCTATGAAAATGTGAAATGTGCATGCCCTTTAACCCAGCAATTCCACTACTAGGAATTTTTCAGATGTTCTCACAGATGTGAACGAAGAAGCATGAACACAGATGTACATTCCTATTTTCTTAACAGTAGCAATGCACTAAAAACGACATAAATATGAATAGCTGTATGTGTTAACACCTGTGTGGAAAGGGGGTTATTTATATGTTAATGATTTTGCATACATGTACGTGGGGAAGCACAGGACTTGGTTGTAAAGTCTGTAAGGAGGATTCTCCAAAAGGTCGGGGGGCATCTGGGGGAACCTTGCCAAAGGCAGCAGCCCCTACCTTGACTTTTTCCAAACAAATCCAATCCCTGGGGTGTTTTGCTGGAATCTCATGTTTATTCTTTAAGATCCAATCTGGTAGAAGCATATACTTTCTCAAGGATACTTGCCCTGCTGATTGTATCTAGAGGTTAATTTGAGTTCAAGCTGTTGTTACAATAAAAACCTAAGGAGGCAGGCAATTGAGGCTGTTTTTGGTGCCTAATGCCAACCACCCCCTTAGCCTCTTTCACAGAAACATGTGTCAGAGTGATCTATTCATCCGTGGCTCAGGGCTGCTGGCCAGCACATGTAGAATCATTCTAGAAGAATACATAGAAATTGCTAATGCTGTTTGTCAAATACTTTTAATATAAAAGAAAGAGGGAAAAAACTAACCATGGTTGGTTCCAGAAAGAAAATACCTTCTGAACAGTGTGAATTTTCATCATGGGCCAATATTATCTACTAAAATAAATTATTAATTAATAAAAAGTCACATTTATTTGATGAGTGAGGTTTAGCATCCTTTTCTCCTGTGAACTGTCCCCTCATATCTTCACTTTTTAAAAATTTTGTTCAATTGTCTTACTTACTGGTTTGCTAAGAACATTTACTCTTTGCTGCAGACGCTGCAATTCTGTTTAGTGGTTAAATTTTAGAGTTTCAGGAATTTCCCCACAATTATAAGGCATTTAAGACAGCTTGCCAGGTCCTCAATGAGACAAGCCCATCTTTTTACGTGGATTCCCATCCACACCAGAGAATGTTTGTGGAATCAGGTGGCGTTTATGAGCTCTGTGGGTGGTTCAGGGGCTGCACCTTCCTTCCTGCTCCTGCGCTGGACAAAGGGCTAGGCTCCAGGTCAGCGGCTGACATCCGAGGAACCCGAAGGAGGGGAAGCTCAGGAGAGCCAGGCATCCATCCGCCTTGGTCCCGTTCGGCTGTGGAGATGGATAGGAGCTTGCCCATGGGGGACACGGGCTAAGTTCTGGGACCCGTGGCTCTGAGGCAGAGACAGGCAGAGCACAGGGGCCGCCCTCAGCTTCCTCAGCATTGGCCCCACCTCCAAGCACCGGCCTGACGAATGCAGGCAATGCTCCCAATTTTCAGAACTGCTTAGTTCACCCAGAGTCAGAGTGTCAAACAGTGACCATTGCATCCAGCAAAGGGGTGCACTAGCATTTGGGGGAGAAAATAGGCCTTTGGGACTTATCAGAGGAAGAACTTACTTCTAAGGCTAAATACGCTCTTGGCGACCTTTCAGCAAACCAAGCTTTCACACACACCACTTTGTTGGGTTAGCTGGAGGCTTCCAGCACCTTCTGCTTGCCGTGGCTTCCTGTGAAGCAGCACCTCAGTCCCTCCTGCCACTGTGGAAGCTGTTTTTCTGAGCAACAAGCCTGCATGTAATCGCATTTGTCTTTTTATTTTTACTGTTTGTCTGAAGGAGGCTGGCAGCATTACTACTGAATTATACTGCTGATTAAGCTTCAGCTATTTGTACAGCGCATGAGAAATAACACTGCCGGTATATACCGGAAGGCAGGTCAATGAAATGCGCATTGTAATTGCCTCCAGAGGCCCAAATGGCCGCCTCTATTTTCCAGCCAGAAGCTCTGATGGCCTTTTAGGTAATCCTCCTCCCCCTCCTCCCCTGAGCTTTTCCTGGAAGCAGGTTGGCAGTTTGCTGGAACAAGATGGCTCCTTGTCCCCGCAGCAGCCAAGGCCCAGGGAAAGGGAAGGCCCTGAGCCCCGGAAAGCATGACTAGGGGCCGCACACAAACGGAGACCCCTGGAGAAGGAAGGAAGAGCCTGAGGGGGCAAACTGGGGGCGGGAGGAGCCTGCACAGCAGTGTCTCGTCCTCTGCTCTCTGGCCCCAGCCTCCCTGAGCTGCTGGTGCTCTGCTGTCTCGCCGGCCTCTGTGCAGAAGCAGAAGGCAGGCTGAGGCTTCCGGCAATGTCTGATGACTCACTCGGAGCAGCTGCTCCCTGCAGACTGACTGCAGCCACTTAAAATAGTTCATCTGCTTCCCGCTCAGCTCTGGCCTCTGCACGCGTGTTCCAGGCCAGAGCGTTCATCCGGCTCCGCCTGAGGTGGGTGGTCTAACATGGACATTCATACTGAACCCCGGGGCCTGTGCCTGAAGACATCCCACCAAGTGAATAACCATCTGCGCAGGCTCCTGGGCGACCCCAAACCACAGAAAGGGGGACATGGCTTGGGAACACCCAGAAACAGGCGAATATCACCCCTTCCGTTCTGAAAAGGTGAGGCCAAAACGCTTTGTGTGAGTCCAGGCCCATAGCATCTCCTAAGTGTTCGGTCGCCAAAGGAGGAAGGAACGCGCAGGAGGCCAGAGTGGGGAGGGATCAGAGTGGGGAGGGATCACGAAGTTATTCGATGTCCGCACACCAGGTGGCTGAGCCTGGATTCTCCAGCCCCCAGTGCGGAGCTGGACTTTCTGAAGGACTTTGGGCGCTTTATCTGGGCGGAGACTTCTCTGTGCAGGTCCGCAGGGGAGATAATGGGATGTAGTCTCAGCAAAGGGGAGTGTCTATCGTGAAATGGCCGTTATTTGATCAGACCTAACACTAAGGAAATAAGTATGTCCTCAGTCTTACTCTAGGGCACATGTGTCAAACACAAGTCCCTCAGGCCAAATCCGTCCCGCCAGGCCTTGCAATGTGGCCCGCACAGCGCTGTCATCACTGCACTCCGCTGCGTTTCCATCACAATGACAGTTTATGACTGTTCAGTAAACCATTCGGCCCGTGATTTAGGCTGGATTTTAGATTTTGGCCCCTTCTCTGATTGAGTTCGACACCCCTACTCTAGAGCCTCATATTTGTGAAATAAAAGTGGCCTTTCTTACCCTGTGCCAATTGCTAAGGCTGCCCAGATAAATATACCCAATCACCGGGTAGAAACAGGCAAGTGAAGAGACGCCTGTAATATGGGTGGTAAATACCATGATAGGTCAGGGCCAAACAAGATGCTGAATTAGCCGCCTGCTGGGCGGGAGGGGTGTGCTGTTTGGCCTGGAAGATAAGATGGGGGAGAGGGCCTCCAGTCTTGCTTCCCCACCTATTGCCTTGGAGCAAGGTGCCTACCTCCCCCTCTGACTCGGGCTCTGCTCCAGGCACCTCAGCGTCAAATCGGCATCCAGCTGCCTGTGCCTGGGAGGTGCTAAGAAAAGCAGGTGGCTCCTGCCTGGCTCTGGCAGTTGCCTACTCACCCCCCTCCAAACACCCAGGCCTCGGGAATGACATTTTAGGGGTGAGTCCTCCTCACTCACGCTGCCTCTCTCCGAAGAGCAAAGTGTGAAAACATGGTGCGCAGTTGTGCGGAGGGGTGAGGAACAGCTGGCTGTGTTTTCCTCTCCAACCCTGGGCCTGGGCAACTCCAACACCTGTTTCTCCCCACCTGCACCCACCTGCGGGGGGTAGGGTGGGGTGGAGGGAGTCACACAGCTAAGGAGCCTGGTTTCACTTTAAATTTGTGATTGCACAACGCAAAGGGTTCTGACTCTGCCAGGCAATTTCACTCCTTTAGTCTGAGACGCGATATGCTTCATTTTCTTTCTTCAACCTCCCCACCTGCCCCTTTACTCTCAGCTAGTGACCTCACTTTGCTTAAAAAAAAATGTTTTTATTCATTTTTTAAGGAAAAGATTGGAAGGCAGAGGGAGAAACATTGATAGCCTGCCTCCCTCACGCCCCCTACTGGGCATTGAGCCCACAACCTGGGCATGTGCCCCCACCAGGAATCAAAGGGGCGACTTCTTGGTGCATGAGATGATGCTCTTCCAACGGAGCCATGCCAGCCAGGGCAACCTCACCTTTCTTTTCTTCCTTTTCTTTTTCTTTCTTCCTTTCTTTCTTTCTTTTAATATATTTTATTGCTTTTTTACAGAGAGGAAGAGAGAGGGATAGAGAGTTAGAAACATCGATGAGAGAGAATCATCGATCAGCTGCCTCTTGCACACTCCCCACTGGGGATGTGCCCGCAACCCAGGTACATGCCTTTGACCGGAATCGAACCTGGGACCCCTTAGTCTGCAGGCCGACGCTCTATCCACTGAGCCAAACCGGTTTCGGCACAACCTCACCTTTCTGAGAAAACAGAGGCAATTGGTTTTCTCACACTTGGTCTGAAACTTGTCCACACCTGGACCTGCCTTGTCTCTTGTCTTCCGTTACATGAGCAGAGACGAACTCTTCCACTTGGGCCATCTGCTCATCTTCTCAGGGACTGGGTTCTCTGAGGTGCCCTCCTTCCTCCCCCTGCTCCAGGACAGTCCATCGGCATCAAAGAGCACCTTTCATTCCCTGTGTCTGTGACCTTTAAACAAGCACTCGCCTCCCCAGCCCTTTCAGTGCGGGCCCCACTTCCCGGCTTCCTACATGGTGGGACACCTCCAAAGGACGGTCTGCACGCTGTCTCAGCTTCAGCTTCTTCACTTTTATTTCTGGATCCAGATTGTCTTTTAAAAAAGAAATTTAAAAGAAGAAGAAATAAAACCTGGCCGGCATGGCTCAATAGCTGAGTGTCAACCTATGAACCAGGAGGTCACAGTTCTATTCCTGTTCAGGGCACATGAGCCCAACCATAAATCTGGTGTTTTATTTCTCTTTAAAAAAAAATATTGTCGTTGATTTCACAGAGGAAGGGAGAGGGAGAGAGATAGAAACATCAATGATGAGAATCACTGATCAGTTGCCTCCTGCATGTCCCCCAAGAGGGATCGAGACCGAGACCCAGGCATGTGCCCTGAAGAGTCCCCTCTAAAAGATGGAAAATGAATAAGAAAGGTGTAAACCTTCAAGGACAGAGAGAGTAGGAGAGAAGACCAGGCAGAGAGGCGTGGCCAGGAGCGTGTGCGCCATAGACAGAGGATGACACTGATAACTCAGGAGAGAAGCTGAGACCTCGGTGCCTGGGGGACCCACAAACGGATGAGACCCTGCTAACCAGGGGGAATGCAGTGGATGTCTGCGTACCAGACTCTGGGAACCATGACATCACCCTCAGGGGATGCTTAAGCAAGCCCCTTCCATGTACTGGACATTTGAGGAAAGTCTCTGCCTGGAGAGGCAGGAAAACACACACACCCCGAAACGGAGGTAAGAGGAGACAACACAGGAACACAGGAAACTGATGCCGAATTTTCCCTTCTCTCTCTCACTGTGGCCCTAGCCCTGGGCCAGGCAATGTGAGGCCTGAAGCATCCAAGCCTGGAGCAAACCTGGCTGTCAACTTTTCTCTTCAGAGAAGCTTTAGCAGAAACCAGGCAGGTCCTGGTAATCTTAGGGCTCCGGAGAGGGTCTAACACTTAAATCTAAACAATTCTTTATTACTTACATGATAAAGTCTACATTGCTGAAATTTCCTAAACTCTTGTCCCTAGTTCTTTACTCAATTGGTCATCTCTCTGCTGTGGCCTAAATATCTGGTGTCCCCAGATTCTAATGCTGAGATCCCGATGGCCAGAAGTGATGGTATTAGGAGTGGGCCTTTAGGAGCTGTTGAGGGCAGGAAGGCGGAGCCCTCAGGAATGAGGTTAGCACCTGTAAAGAGGAAGCAGCAAGAGGGTGTCTGGCTGTGAGCCAGGAAGAGGGTCCTCTCCAGGATGGAGCCATGCTGGTGCCTTGACCTTGGACTTTCCAGCCTCCAGAGCGTTGAGAAATACCTTTCTGTTGTGTACAAGCTGCCCAGTCTGTGGTTCGTTATAGCAACCCAAACAGACGGACAACTTTTCTCTTCAGAAGTAGAACCCAGCCCATCCTTCCCTTCCCAGGCCTGAGTCACCCCCAGGCAGTGGCAGCAAACTCTCCTCACAGCTGGGGTCTAGGAGCAGGACAGACGCTGCCAAAGGAAACCGCAGCAAGGACAAGCTATGCAGGACAAGCATGTCAAGCTCACGGCCCACAACGAATATTTTTGTGGCCCAGCCAATATAACGGTATATAAGAAATATATTATAACAGTATGTAAGAAATGGTTTAATAAAAAATTCATAACAATTTTTACAATGTCCTATTATACATAATTATTAATAATGAACTACAACTTTGGCTAATGACTAATTACTATCATCGTGTTGCATTCATTTCCCTTTGGTGCCTTATCGCAGGTGCACCATTTCTCTCCACTCATACTAGCAGCGAGTATTTTAGCAGCCGATGGCCACGTCATTAGTCTGGACTGACTTGTTTGGTGTGCGCAACAGGAAATATTTCACTTTCAGAGGACAAGAAAAATAGATTTATTTGCATTATGCTTATTAATTTGTGCAGTTATTCAGTGTCTGGTAAGTTAATGTTCAATAAAAAGTATTAGTTTTTATTAAAATGTTCTATTATTTTATGTTACCAATGACTCATCTATTTCAGCCCTATTGAAATAAACCTACGTTTCTATGAAAATTGAAGCTTTTGTTTTTTTGTGGCCACAGAAACTTACACCTTGCTCACTTGGCCATGCTAGCTTTGAGTTTGACACACTTGATGTAGGGCAGTGGTTGGTCAACAGAGCCAAATATCAACAGTATAACGATTGAAAT